GGTATTGGTTGAAAACAGAAACAACAGCATTTCCTGCCTCAAACTGTAATAGGCTACTGAATTTCAAACCACCTGAATGATTACTGACCAAGTTTCATTGTGCTGGTATCAAAGATTAACCAACCTCAAAGCAGTTGGCAGCCAACTTTTGGTGTTTCAATCAATATTTATTGATGAATTCCAATCATAACTCCAACAACATGTTAAAAATAAGATCAAAACAAACCAAACAAGATTGTTTTGGCTAACAGAAACAACACACTCATTGATCACCAGCCTCAAGTCTCCTCAATTGAAAACCACAGCATGACCAAACTCTTGATGAAAAAGAACTAAGAAAGACAACCAACAGGTATGATGAGCTGAAAACCTTAAAGACAGTCATTAACAAAATGGTTATAAACCTAAATATTGTCAAATCATTCTATCAAACTAAAACTCATAGCATGAAGTTACAACTCAATTAGTCAAAACAAAGAGGCTAAACTCAGCAGCACCAAGTTAAGAATAAAGCATACTATAACATAGAGCCAACAACCCTAAGCATACCAAACATGAATTGACAGCAACATCTCAGCACAAACTCTACAGCAGTGACAAAAGCATACAAGTATAGCAGCAATTAACTCAAACAACAGGTTATCATGGTATATGGTAGAACAATGGTTAAATTAAAAGCAAGCTTAGCTAATGAGAAGATTGTTTCAGTAGCAACAAACATAGGCCTGACATACCAATGTCAATCCTAACTCCTACCAACTGCTTCAACAGCATATATATATATATATATATATATATATATATATATATATATATATATATATATATATATATATATATATATATATATATATATATATATATATATATATCAGTTTTTACAAAAAAACAACAAGCTACAAATATTGTTATAATAACAACCATTAGTTCAACATCTTGCAGGAGAGATAAGTTTTGACATCAACCATCATGAGTTGACAAACCCAAATGGTAAGACAGTCTTGGTTGCAAGGTTGTAGATTGGACATTGCAAAGTTTTAGCACATTCAAACCATGCTTCAAGCATGAGGCCTGATTTCCAATAAGTTAAAACAAACACACACAGTCTAACAAGACATTGTCAAACTTTGAAGTTTAGATGCATCACATGGCAATCACAAGTTTATGATGACAAATGCAAACATATGCAAGTCATATTCAACAACTTTGGATGATGTACATAATGAGAAAGTGCAAGGGTTCAAAGGTCACTTACCTCTTGTAGACCTCCAATAGCAAGACAGCTACCAAGAAATCCAGAGATCTTTCCCTTTGAGCAACCGTGTGATGTTACTTCTTTTTGAAGAAAAGTGCAATCTTGTGGACAATTGGAGCAAATAAAGTTCCAGCTGTGGTTTGAGGTTTTGGACAGTTAAAATGTCATAAAGGGAAGGTGTTCAAAGTGTTAAACTGATGGAAAATGGTTTGTGGAGTGATTTGGCTTGAAATGTGCATAAAAGTCAAACTATGGTGTGTGGATAGTTGAATTTTTGATTCAAGGTTTTTTTGATGAAACTAATGGTGGGAATAGCTTCAAAGGGACATTTTAAGGGTGTGTATATGGTTTTTGAAGTGGTGGAATGTTTGGAACAAGATCTGGTATGAAAAATGCAAAATGACCAATTTTGGTGTTTTTCTTCACTTACAAGCAAAGAGAGAAAGAAAGAGAGTTGTGTACCCCTTGTGTTTTGGATGGCTCTGGTGTGAAAAATAGAGTGGGAGGAAGGTTCTATTTATAGGCCATGAAGAGGTTTGGGGCAGATTTGAAGTTTGGCTTTTGGAGGGAGTTTTGGAAGGAAATCCATCCAAGATCATGCGGCAGCTGTGCACTCAAGTATTTGGCTCAATGCAAGGCATAAATCAAGTGATATAAAGGACATGGAGGTGACTGAAGTAAGGCTAGAGAGTAGGGGGCTACAGTTGTACCTTCTCATGAAAAGTTTCTCTTTCTTCTTTGTTTTTTTTATTAAAATATTACCACATGTTCTTGCAACTTGCAAACTCATCAATCCTCTTGATTTTATGCATTTTTAATCATCAAACCCTCTAAATAATAGATAGAAACATGATCCAATGGCTGAGAATACCTCAAATGATCAAAAAGTGAGTTTGTGAAAATGTTGAACTCAAGTGTTAAAACCTCAACTTGTTGGATTCACAACTCTCAACTCATAAGGGATATGGAGGAGTTCTAGTATATTTTGGAAAGCCCTCATGAAGCTCTACAACTTTCATGTGTTCATGATCTTCAGATTCCAAATGGAACTAGGTCAAAAATCCACTCATAGTTGCTAAAAGACATGCCTAAAAAGGCCAATAACTTAGAATTTTTCTAAGTTATTTTTCCCTTTTGCAATGACTTTGGCTCATAACTCCCAATCTACTAATTTTTTGCACATGAGCATCTGTGAGACTTTTGTAGGAATTGTAAATATCTTTCCGACAAGCTTTGAACCACATCATTTGGATGTGTGGTTAGGAAGTTATGGTCTGGCCCCTTTCAAAATCCTAATTCCCGATTTTTGCAATTATTCCCCAATCCTTGATCTAATGGTCATGAAAATTCATGGACAGGTGTAATATGTCATTAGGAACATTTTTTATTTCCACCTTGAGGTCAAATTTCTTATGGTTGAAGAGTTGACTTTTCGGTCAACCGAACGATCGATCGATGACGATCGGATCGACTATTGTTGTTCCGGGTCTTCTGAGGCCTTGAAACTTCTTGAGTAGACTTCAATAAGCCATATGAACTTCACGGACCATGATCCCGCCATTGTAACACCATTTAAATCAAAAGTCAAACTACAGTTGACTTTTCCTGATCAGAAACCCTAATCGGGGATCTTGAACTGCATTGTTCCTGATCTTTGGGTGAGAACCTCAAATTGGATTCATACTTGATCCAATGGATTATATTTGATGATGTGGAGACTTATTCCATGGAGAACCAATCCAATACGTTGATTGATTAAACTGTCAAAACCTCGATTTCCGACTGTACGGAACCCTAATTCACCTGTATCTTAACAAAGAAAAACTTGAAGTAGGTTAAGGTTAAATAATCAAATGAAAATGATCCTAGAATAATGATGAAGATTTAAGGGGTCAAAATTTGGGGTGCAACAGTAATGAAGGGCTTGAAACTAATTATTTAAGTGATTATCTAGGCAGTAGTGATCCAGATGCATCAGATGGAGAGAAAGGACCAAAATATCATAGGTTTAAGATGGAAGAGTTAGACAAGGACTACAAGTTCAAAGTTGGTTTGGAGTTTGTATCTCTAACTGAATTTAAGGAGGCAATAACTGAATGGTCGGTGTTAAATGGAAGAGAGATAAAGTATGTGAAAAATGACAAGGTTAGAGTGAGAGTAGTTTGCAAGGGAAATTGTGGGTTTTTTTTCTCTTGTTAATAAAATGGAGAATAAGAACACATATAAAATGAAGAAATGGTTTAGTGCACACACGTGTGGTAGGGTTTTGAATAACACCACTGCTAACTCTAAGTGGATTGTGAAGACTGTGGCGGCTAGGATGACTTCATCTGATGGAATCAAGCTTTGTGATATTGTGTATGAGATTAGAAGTACGCACTCTATAGATATATCTATGAACAGGGCATGGAAGGCTAATAAAATTGCAAAAGCTTTGGTTGAAGGTGATGCAACAAAGCAATATACACTATTGTAGAGGTATGTTGCAGAATTAAGGAGGGTCAATGCAGGGAACACTTGTAAAATTAATGTCTCCAAGATTGATCCAACAATTCAACCCTGATTTGGGTGCTTTTACTTTTTCTTTGATGGGATAAATAAGGGATTCACTACTGTTTGTAGGCCATTCATTGGTGTTGATGGATGTCACCTAAAGACAAAATACGGAGGCACATTGCTTGTTGTTGTTAGAAGGGATCCTAACGACCAATATTATCCATTGGCCTTTGGTGTATGTGAGACTAAGACAAAAGAGTCATGGAGGTGGTTCTTGACCTTGCTTTTGGAAGACATTAGACAAGACAAAAGACGGGTATTCGTATCAGACCAGCAAAAGGTACTTTCCAGATCTATATAAATTTTTGAGTTCATCCCTAATCTATGTAATTGTGTTTCAATTTGGTCCTTGTATATATCAACTTGTTTTGAACTAGGTCCCTGAATATGTCAATTAGTTTTATATATTTCTATTTGCTTGAAATAGGTGCCTTGTTTTATAGTTTATTTTGATTTGTAGGGATTAATTCCTATTTTTGAAGAGATGTTTGAAAGGGTGGAGCATAGGCTTTGTCTTAGGCATTTATATGTCAATTTCAAAAAGAAGTTTGGTGGTGGCACACAGATCAGAGATTTGATGATGACTGCAACAAAAGCCACATATATACAAGCATGGAAAGCAAAGATGAAAGAGTTGAAGGTGTTTAATCCTAAGTTTTGGGAGTGGTTGATCAAAATACCTACAAAATCATGGTGTAAGAATGCTTTCTCATTCTATCCCAAATGTGACGTGCTAATGAATAATGTGTCTGAAGTTTTTAATAGCACAATCCTAGTGGCTAGGGATAAACCAATCTTAACCATGTATGAATGGATAAGAAACTACCTTATGAATAGAAATTATAAATTAAGAGAAAAAGTGGATAGGTGGGCACATAGGATAATGCCAAGACCTAGAATTAGGTTAGATAAAGAGGTATAAAATGTTAATAATTGGACTCCAAATTGGTCTGGTGATTATACTTGGCAAGTAGAACATATCCATAGCAGACATAACTTCATATTTGACACTTCTAAAAGAACTTGTACATGTAACTTTTGGGAGTTGGTAGGCATACCATGTAGACATGCAGTTACTGCCTTAGGCTTTAGGAACGAACACCCTGAAGACTATGTAGATGACTATTATTCTAAAGAAACATATGTGACATGCTATGATTTCAATGTTATCCCAATTAATGGTTAAGACATGTATCCTAAGGTTAATATTGAGGAGATGTTGCCTCCATCATACAAAAGAGGCCCTGGTAGGCCAAAGAAACTAAGGAGGAGGGAACCTGATGAGGATCCTAACAAGGGAAGGACACAAATATCTTATTGTTGTACCAACTGTGGTGTACATGGCCACAATGCAAGGAGTTGTACAGTTCTGGTGCCTGACCCTAAAGCTCAGAAAAGAAAGGTATTAACTTAACTCAATTATGTATTCTTACTAACCATTTGTAAGTGATATTGATTGAATCACTTTGTGTGTAAAAAAAGCCAAAGAAAAAGGCTACACAAACAACACAACCTGAAGCTTCTACTAAACAACACAACTCTGAAGCTTCTACTGAACAACAACAACCTCATCATGAATCTTCCACTTAAGAACATCCAGAAATACAATGTGGTGTGGACCTAGAGTTTGAAATACTTGTAGCAGATCTTTGTGCAGCTTTTGAAAGAACACAACCTCAATCCAATGTCAATGATCCCACTTCCCAAATTCCAGCTCCAATTAACGCTGTTAGTGTCCATGCTCCAACTGTTGAGGTTGCATCCGTAATGGTTTCACTAGGAGTTGGTGACTCACAACCAAACTACATCATGTCCGCACCTATTCCAGAGGTTAAGCCTACACCTAATGAACTTGTTTATGCACCTCCTTTTAAGAAACCTGTTTCTGCCCCTCCTAAACCAGTTGAATCATGCTACTGACTAATTGACACAATATGTATGTTCTCAGTTTTAATTAACTTAATGAACCTGCTTCATTGTGTCTTTGTAGGCAAAACAACCCAAACAAAAGGTCGCAAGGAAGTTGACATTAAGGAAGAGTGATGGACCAAGGGTGCTCAAAAGCAACAAGCGCAAAAGAAGAGAAAAAAGTAACCCTGCTAAAAGGAGAAGGAAGTAACCCTACACAAGGGGGTACCATGGAATTTGTAGTCATTGGACCTGTTTTGACTTATGTTTTATTGAACAACTTTACTACAATGGTGTACTTAAGCCTTGTAGTTTTCTATTATGTATTTTGATGCCAATGTGTATTTTGGCTTAAGACTTAATGTTTATGATACAATGTGTTTTTTGGCTTAAGCCTTTATGTGTATGATACAATGTGTTTATGACACATTATAAAGTTTGTTTAACGAAATATATCAAGTTTGTTTTATGATACATTATCAAGTTTGTTTAATGCAATCTATTAAGTTTGTTTAATGCAGTATTTTGGCTAAAGTTAGTTTTATGGACAATTGATAAGGCCTATTATCGGGTTGATACATAAGTTGGCTCAAGTTAGTTTTATGGACAATTGATATGGCCTATTACCAATTTGATACCAAACTGATATGGCCTATACCTTAATTGACTTAATTACATACATAAATTGTCCAAAACCAAAACATCTTTTTCATTCATCATATTATACAGGGACCAATCTCAAAATACATCAATGTTACAAGGACTAACAAAAAAACAGACATAAACAAAGGGGATTCACCACTATTTGTGATAAGCAAAGAAGAACCCTCATGACACAACCAACAATAGCTTCAACAGAGACGCTTTCCTCTTCTCCTTCTCCAACTTAATCTTCATCTTTGCCTTTTTTCCAATCTCAATCTCTTTAACAATTGACCCTAAATCCTTTAACATTTTCGAGCAGTTGCAACCACTTGAACTTCTAAGATCACTAGTTGAATTTCGTTCAAGCTCATCGTCCCAAATGAACAACTTGCAACCAGACATTAACCCTGAATTTTGACACTTCCAAAATCTTCTTTTAGGGTTTTCAACAGAATTTGACATATACATTTTCATGCTTCTATTACAACCACAAACTGATACTTGAACGTGAAGAGAGGTCGTGGACGAAGAAGAGGCCATCGATGTCGATGGAGCAGAGGGAAAATTGTGAAGGATGAAGAAGAAGCCACTGATATAAGGAGGGAGGAAGGAAAAGCAAACAAAAACGTACTTCTTTTTAATTTGATCCCTCGTTTAACACTATATCCACGTGTGTTCTTTAAAAAATAAAAATAAAATGATAAAACATAGGCCAGGTCATCACCGTCTACCACCTCAGCTTTTTTTTTTAACGTTCCATTGATAGCAGAGACTAAAGCCAAAGAGAAATAAACATATGGGGACTCATACCACAAAAAAAAATTCAGGGACGAAAGTAAAAAACACTCTAACTTAAAGGGACGAAAACAATATTTAAGCCTTTATATTAATACTTACATTGTAAAATAAAAATGTTAAGCAAATATTATTTGAATTACCTCAAATGTATTCATAATTCAATTTCAACAAAATTTTATTAAGTTTTTGATTGAAAAAGACAAAAAAAAACTTCATATTGTATTATAAATTATAAAAGTAATTTTTTATATTGTATTATAAATTATAATTTTTTAATATAAAATATTTTATAAATGATTGTAGTTCAACTTCTAGCATGCAATCAACAGTCTCGTTCTTGGCATTTTTCATAAATTGTCTCAAATAATTTGGTAAGATTTTTTTCAAGTGTTATTAATAGTGATGATGAACTCTGGTATGATGGTATTTGTAATGCGTTCAAAAATGAAGTGTGTACCAACAATCACTATAATGATTAAGTGAGTAACAATCGTACATGTGAGGGTTTATGATTTTAGAATAATGTGTAAACATTGGTCTCCTGTCCAAAAATAGGTGGAATGGGTGGAAGGTCTTGCACCCTTAAAGGCTAAAAGTTACACAAAACCATGTGTACCGCATTAATGCTTGCGCCCGCCAAAGCTTGTCGAAAAAAGGGGTAGGGCAAGCAAAGTAGAGGGTGTGATTCGAAAACCTAAAAGTTGCAAAAGCCATGGTTGCCCCGTTAAAGAATGCGCCCACCAAAGTCTGCCAAAAAATAGGGGTGCGACGAGGGGAACAAAGTAGAGAATGTTGGTCAAAAACCTTGGCCCAACTACCAAAAAATGTAGGCTAAACGGCTATGCAAGGCGAGCCTGACCCATTTCTCTACCTCTTCCCAATTATACCCTAATTCTTGGACTTTTGTTCAGTCTTTCAAGTCGTGTTTGAATACTTGTAAATGATAGTGCATCTGCATGTGTTCTTCAATATTTTCTTGCTAGCATAGGTGGTCAGTAATATTGGCGACTCTTAAGAGTTTATCTCCTTTAAATAGAGGTTAAGAGTCTTTGAGGTCTTGAGTGATTCTCCTAAAATCTTCAATTACATGTATGTTGCAATCTGACCCGTGATTGTGCTTCTTTTATTGTCCTTCTATGAACATAATTATTTGACACATTCCTCAATTTACAGTTGGTGTCACCGACCTAAATCATCCTTCTGTTTTTTTTTTGTCCTTATTGGTATACCCTAGAGAGAAAATCACATTTCCCTAGGGGAAAAGAAGACATTACCCCACACCCCCTTCCCTGTCGTGATGGGATAAATGTTCGTCATCGTGTTTAGGACTTATTGTCAACTCCCTAATTCCTTTGAGTGTTGTTGCATGAGGCTAACATAATAAAAAAAAGTTAGCTTGGAACTTCTAGGCCCTTATAAAGTTATGGTTGGATGCAGTCCTTATTTGGCGAGGCTAACCTCTTTGAAATGTTCCATGTTTACGGTGGTCATAGAGTTTTCAATGGAAGATAAAAGCTTGAGGTTTGATCTAAAGGGTATAAAAACACATGAAATTGGATGATTGAATTGTATTGGCTGGTTGAAAATTTGTATGGATGTTTCAACGGAAACTCAAGTAAATCACAAGTGCTCGAAGATAAGGAGATAAAGGAAGATAAATCAAACACACATAGTTTATCCAGGTTCACCCCTCTTAACTTATAAGCATGTACAATTCCCCCACACTAAGAGGTTTTCATATTAATCAAACACATTACCAGATTAGTAATATATTTTCTGGTCCAACTGACATATATCTTAAAATTCTCAAACACAGAGATTTGATCTCATTTGAATCTCTTTTGTCGTCTCAAAGAATATGGCTAACACTTAGCCTTTTGAGGAATACAATCAGATAATTAAATGAATGATTCTTTACAAAAATCACTCAACATAGAACGTAAACAAATCTGAGCATAAATGCAAGTCTTTAAGTCTTTTAACAAAAATAATATACAATGAAATCACCTATTTATTTCTTTATTTACTTTCACCCAAGCTTTTTATCTAGTTATTCTTCTTTAGAAAGTCTTTTCTTTTTTCTCAAGTTGATTATATAAATTGTATTCACAAGATTTGTTTCAATATTGTATATTGAGATTTCTTGTGATGAATAAGATAATGGGAGGTTGAGTCTTTATACAACTTCTTTTTTATAACATTTAATGAACTTGACTTATTTTATAAAGGAATTGTTATGATTTTTGTACTAAACTTTAAACCACTTGTGTATATTAACTTTTATAATTATCCTCGTACGAGGCAACTACAATCGGAATAAAGTATTTAGTGTCTTCTCTATTGTGATAATCCTTATTGAAGTGACATGGTTTATGAAAAATAAATAGTTTCAACATTGACTAATTAAATCTCTTGGATTTGGACATTCCTCTACACACACTTCCTCCTCTTGAGACACTCAAGCCTTCACCATTTTTGTCAATCTTAAAATATTTTATCTTTGAAAATTACTTGAATCTCACACTTGTGTGAACTTTAACCAAAGTAAAAGTACCATTCTTACAATAAGGGATAACATTCTTGAAGTGCTCAAATGATTTGAGTAATGAGTTTAACAAGAGTATAGTTTTGTCTTTGCCATCAATCTTCACCTCAATATTATTTGAATAATCAATGATCTTATGAAATTATGTAAAATGCTCCATTATGGTTTGTTCTCTACCATTTAAAATGAGTAGATTTGTTGTTTCAAATACAACATGTGAGGCAAAGACTTGATCATTTAGAATGATTCAATCTTTCCTTATACTTTATTCTAGAGGAACAAGATCATGGCACTTCTTCCCTTATCCACCATCCTGACCTTCTCTTTTTATGTTAGGTGTGCATGCATCATTTCCTCGCCCTTAAATGCTTTAACACACTTATCATGAGTTAATATTTATTGCATATTCACTTACCACAACTCAAAATCATGGTATTTTGAAAACTTCTTGATATCCCATTTAGAACTCATTCTGCTCACTTGTAAACATGACCTTTTTACCCTAATGGTGAACACTATTTATTATGAAATTAAAATGTACAATCACACCAAGACCTTATCATTGTCAAATATAACAACTATATTAATTTCATTGAGAACTGTGATGAGTTGGACAAAGAACAATAGCAATTAACTAAATGGTCTGAGGATACAAAATAACATGTCAAACAATGTAAGAAAATTCACAACAAGAAAGAGAAAGATAAAATACGAGTATATAAGTAATTCGTTTACCCGGTTCAATCAAATAGATCTACTATAGAAGAGAGAAAATCTCTCTAATTTACTAGACTTTTAAAAGTTGTTATAAGAAATTACAAATAAGTTACAAGAAAATAGTCTCCCAAATTTTCAAGAACAACTCATGTATTCTACCCCCCAAGTATTTTCTAATATCTCCAAATCTCTATGTAGGAATCACATAAATCCAAAGTATTTACAAGTGTTTCAAAATTCCCTTATATACCTTCAAATATTTTTCAAATTCCAAAAGGTTAGAGAAATTTCTACATTTGTCTCTCTAATTAGGATTACCTCCTCTTCCTTTTTGGAAACACTCTAACCATATAATCTCATTATAAACTTTCTTTTTATTCTAGGATTTCTCTTGGTTGAGTGAGGTTTCATTTTTATTAATAATGTTGCTATGTACAGTATTGTTCGTGAAAATGCTTACAATTTTTGTTTGTTGCAGGTAACAAATACACCATGGGTTGAAAGAGTTACCTTTTTCTAATCCACATTCTAACTAAGTGGCGACAACTTTACATGTCATTCCTTTTATGATATGTGTTGAGATATGATATGATTTGGTTAAAATATGATATCATTTATATATGATTATTAAGATTGTTTGTGTATTGATTTATCCCCCTTAATCAATGAATTCTTATTGTACTATACTCTATGTAAATAAGATCAAATTAAGAGCTAATCTGACGAGTCTTTCAGTATCAATTTCTTATTCTCAAGTTGGTACTAGAGTTGCAATCCTAGGTCAATCTAAATCCTAGTTATCATAATCACATATACTACATTATTACACAAGACGTTAAATATACATAGTACTTTTGTACACACCGGTCATTCCACCTGACTTGCAATTGTCATATTTTTTTTTCATACTGGTTTCTTTCTTATCAACCTCATTGGTGTGTATATGTGTGTGTGTGTATGTGTGTGTGTGTGTGTGTGTGTACCATATGTCGCCCTTCATGCCTCATACAAGGTCATTGTTGGTGTTATTCTTCTCGTCATTGGATTACTCTCAATTTGTGAGAGGAACCAAGATAACTCTGTGTCTTATTCTTCTTTCTTGCTTATTATATTTGTTGCCTACCTATAACTAAATCAAATTCTACAACCTTTAGTTTATAATCTGACTTAAGATTTTTAAAAAGAAACAAAAGGAAAAACATAATTCAACTACCCCCTCAATCTTTTGTTTTTCTCACCTTCATGTAACACTCAAGACCGACGAGGTTGGAGAGTGGTCGCCGGTACACAGGGCATGACAATGAGAGAATCCTAATAGCTTGTTGTCGTAACCTAATTTTTAAACTCTAATATCCCACCTCTTTTTGCATCATAGTGCATCTTTATAGGTCAACCATTCACTTCATGACTAACCAATTTGTGCAGGCATATTAATTTTGAATGATGATGGTACTTTTTCCCCTTGGTTAAGTACTTCAAG